GGAGGGGAAAATGGATACAGGCCAGGGGGAGGCAGGCCAGTCAATCAACTTTGCCAAACCCCCAGTCTCCATTAGATCTTCTAATCCCCTTTAAATCTTTACAGTCTTTAAATCTTTTTGTTGAGCACACATTTAGCTAAAAGCATAATATTTATAAAATAAACTCTAACATGCAGTTTCTGTAATTTTGAAGAATTTATGTCCTGCTACTTCTAATTTTAAGATTCTTAAAGTTTATTTTCCTACACTGGTTTCTTTCAGCTAAAAAGCTAGAAGTGCTTCATGCTTTTGCTGGGAAGGAGCTCCTTTGGGCACCTTAGATCAGGGGTCTCCAACTTTGGCAACGTTAAGACTTGTGGACTTCAACTCCCAGAGTTCCTCAGTCAGCTTTGCTGGCTGAGGAACTCTGGGAGTTGAAGTCCACAAGTCTTAAAGTTGCCAAGGGTGGAGACCCCTGCCTTAGATGGTACCGGTGAGGACTCAGAAGTCCAGAACAAACTTTGGAAGGTCAACCTCAGCATTTCCCGTCCTGGGCCCCTTCCAGATGTGTGGGGCTGCATCTTCCAGGATCCCCATCAGAGGCCAGACCGACTGGAGCAGGAATGGTGGCAGCTGACGAAGTTGTCTGACCTCTTTAATGCTGGTCCAGTCGTGGTCCTTGGAAGATCCAGATGCAGAATATGCCAGTTGGAAAGAGGGAGATAAATCTGTCAGGGACAGTATCAGAGCAGAGGTGGGGCTGTCAGTATGACCCAATCTGGATCGAGCATCGAGGGGGGAAGCTAAGGATGCTCCGTCCTTCTGTGGAGAAGGATAAATCTTGAGGGTGAAGGAAGATTCTTTAGTTGGACAGTGGAGGAAGAGGAGAAGACACAGTGCAGAAAGCACATTTGGGCAGGGGAAGAACATTTCAAAGCTATTTAATATCTCAGGGAAAGTACTGTCACATTGATGGTGTTTTTTATGGCAGTAATTAATGGGTTAAATATGGAGGGGAGGAAATAGAAACCGTAGATGATTGAGCTGATGGTGCACATCTCTTAAAATTGAATGCTGATACTCACTAACAGAGATGTTTGCACTTTCAGTGATTCTTTGTCTCTTCGGAACCAGCAGATGCAAAAAAATTTGGAATGTGAATACAATTCCATAATTAAAATACAGGCGATATGTGATTCTTAAGGTTTGATAACATTAAAATTCCTTTGTGCTGATCATGGTCTTTAGGAGACCAGGAAAAAAAATCAGTGGTGCTTTATGTATCTGTAATTTTAAAAATGGAGGAGCAACAGAAGCTGTGTACATAGAATAATTCCGAAACATATATGTGTGGCCACAGGCTATTTTCAAGCTCTCATTCCATTTTGGAAAAGTTTCTACCCCTCATTGTTTTGAAACCAAGCTTCAGAATACAATGGTGTCTATCTAGAAGGCCAAGAATGGGCCAAGATATTCCATCTGGACTTTGTGGGTGGGAGGCAAACATGGATCTGAATTGCAGCAGAGAGAATAAAATGCTTGCTAACTGCAGATCAGGAGCAGATTTTAATATTACATAAATATCTCCTTGATAACTCATGAGTCACAGCACTTTATTGTATTCTTCCTTTGAACGAGCCCAGACGTGTCTGGATCCTCTTTTACTCTCCCCAAACAGAAATGTGTTGTTAGCACATAGAGCTTGCAAATAATTGAGCAAGCTTGGCAAAAACTATCCTCATCCAGACTAAATGATTTAGTTTATATTCTCACTTCTTAGAAATCAGTGGCTTTTTAAATAATCATTTAAGCTTTTAACAGATTTTTTCAGAAACTTAAAGGCACAAAGCGCAAGTATGAAAAAGCAAGTATATATATATAAAAAACCTTTCCTTTCCAATCGTTTCCCAGCCACAAACCTAAATATTTGTACTCTACCCTGAACATTGCGGGTTGTTGCGTGTATTTATTTCATCTGCTGCTTTTGATTCATCTCCAGAGCTCTTTTTTCTTGAAATCACATTCTGGGCATCCCGGTTTTCTCGGCTGTGCGCTGCTCCAAGCAGGCTCCAGGATGGCCACCATCCTCTGCAAATAGCACAGCCCCCCTGGAAGATGGGAGATGCTGCAATTTCATTACGACCATGAGACTGTGAGGGGATTCTAAATAAAGAAAAAATAAAATATATTCATCAAGAATCATAAGATACAAGACTTAGTGATAGTCAAGGTTACTAATAAGCTATCAAATCGTACTAGGAAACAAATAAAAACAATATAATTGAAAGATACAAGCAACATGGATATAGCCATAAGTGGGAAGAGATAGGTAACAGGAAGGGAGAGAAGAATAATAGTAATTCACTCTTAGTAAATAGTTTGACAGTGTTGTGGGAATTAGTTGTTTAAGCAGAGTGATGATGGCATTCGGGGGAAAACTGTCCTTGTGTCTTGTTGTTCTAGTGTGCAGTGCTCTAGCGTCATTTTGAGGGTAGAAGTTGAAACAATTTATGTTACAAAGAAAGAAAAAACTTAATTAGAATACTTGGCTAGACTGGTTTCCTATTTCTGCCCAAAGCATCAGATATCCAAAGCAAAAGGTTCTTCTCTGCCTCATTCATCTGGATTTCCCCTGGATTTTAGGGGGAGCTTCTACTAGGATTAGATGCATTGCTGCTGAAACGCTCACCTTGACTTACAGACTTCTGCCTCCAAAGATCCAATCACTCTGCATGTTTGCTTGATTGACATTGGGCCTTTCTAAGAACCCAAGCTACAAGGGTTTCCTTTTCACCCTGCAGGAAGTCTTGGGTCCTTGCAAGGGTGGCTGTAGGCAAGGCAGATCAAAGGCCAAAACAGGCAAAGGCCAATATGTAGCTTTTGAGGGTGAAGAGGAGCCAAGAAACTCCCTGATTCCCCAGAGAAGCTATTCCGAAATCCCTGGGATGTTTCCACCCCTAAGGGAATACCAACGGGTGGAAAACACATGGCTGTCCAGTCCACAAAGGCTCTCCTGCAGGTGTAAGGTGTAGTAGAATTTGGAATTCAGGGCAGCCAGTGACTTAAAGACTCTCAAACCGAGGAAGCAAAAAGAGGGATGAAATTGCTTTGCTAATATTGAGATGTGTCGGTTGGGAGGGAGGGGGGACTTCAACTCCCAGGATTCCCCAACCAGCCGAGCCTTAACCTGTTGGTGTAAATCAGTTTTCTTCAAACATGGCAACCGGGTGAGTTGAAGTCCACCCATCTTAAACTTGCTGAGATTGAGACACGTGGTCTAGGCTAATGTCTGCAGTGGAAATTGCTAAAAGGGCTTTCTGGAGCTGTGTGGCAGCTTCTTTGTTGCTGCTGTTGGAACACGGAGGTCGGTCTGGGGTTGGCCAAAGAGGGAGATTTGCAGAATCCACTGATCCAGCATCGGTTCTCTTCTGTTTGAAATGTGATGGGTGACAAATGGCCAAGGGAGGGGAAAAGCATTCAGCAAATGGGGTGGGTGGGTGCCTGTGTCTCAGCCATTAAATAAATTAACAGGATGGATTTTCTTAGAATGTTATATGTGAGCTTCGTTCCCTCAAAGCCCTTTCCATGCTGAACAAACAATAAATTTCTCTTTGGGGGAAAAAAAGAGTAACTTTAAAATAAAAACAGGATTGTAATGCTGACCTTGTCTCCTCGGTTTTAAATAGTTTTCACGATATAATCAATGGTAATGGTATACATGAGGTTTTGTTTAAAGGAAATACAACGCCTTAATTGTACTGCTTAAAGAAAAGCATTGCATCAGAAAGATTCATTTAAATACGTTTGGCTCGAGGCTCTCTTCACAATTCATTCATGCTGATTTTCTCTTGGACTTGTTAGGAATGCAGAATATAAAAAGAAATCAGCCTTGCCGGATCACAACATTCTGTCCCCAAAGCTTAGTTTTATTCAGAAATCTCTGCTGCCAACAAAAGGCTTCCTTTTTATTGTAAATTGCAACTACAAGTGCATTTAAAACCTGGCCGAATGTTGCAGAGATTAACAAAACATGCTCCTTGTTTGAATGAGGAGCTGACGGAGGAGACCGACCCACGCCAGGAAAATTCTGTGCACAGAATCATTGGGACCCACCAATCCATCTGTGTAAAGGCACATGTGGAGGGCAGATACAAGCCATGTTTGGGACTGAATTGCTAGACTTTCTGAGTGGCAACTGAGTGGCAACTGAATTCAACTGCCAAGCCAAAACAATGGAGAAGCCATTGGGAAGAAGCAAAAATTGGGAGACCGCAGCCAGCAAGGGAAAAGGCAGGGACTCTTGTGCTTAAAGAAGGATGGAGGCCACTGGGGTATTTATGGACCAGCTGTATCCTTTCTCCTAGCATCATCTATGTTCAGTCATTTGCCCTTCCAACAAAGGTCTCTCCTTTGCCACAAGTTTTGAACAGTTGCATTTGGTTTCATATTTTGAGACACAGACGGTTGAACCTGAGTGCTCTCTGCTTCTTTCAGGCCCCGCAGACTAGGTTTTGCCAGATCGCCCAGAGAGAAGGACTGATCTCTCTGACGTTTCCCACTGTCTCTTTGGGGGGGGCTTGAGGGGGTCTTTGGGCGCAGGGCAACCTTGGATGAGGCTTCTCAGAGGGTTACAATCCTTTGCCTTCCAGCCCCTCTCCTTCCTTTACCTTGGCAGTTCAGAATACAAGTAGCCCTCGAATTATGACCACAATTGGGAATGGGATGCTAAGCATTGCGGTTGTTGAGTCATGCCTGATTTTACAACCTATTCTGCCGTGGTGGTTGAGCGAATCCGGCTTTCCCCTCTGACAAAACGGTTGTTAGTTACCAAGCCTGGAGAGCAGATCTGAGAAGGACTTCAGGGAGGCTTCCAGCACTTGGGAGAGTAACAAAAGAGGCGGCATGGTCTGGGCCTTTGACTTCCTTTCTTGAAAAAGCCATCAGCAAATTGTGCACCATTGGTGGCATTGTTCTTCTCTAACCTCTCATGCTTTTTTCCCCATTTTATTTCTTCTTAACAGAAAGTGGTAGAACTAGTCAAGCCCTCAAAGATGCCCTTTCCTGCCCCCTTGGAAGAAGGCTTACCTAGCGACATCTATTTCAAGTTCGTAGCTCTGACTGCAGGGGAGGAAGAGGAGGAGGAGGAGGAAGAGGAGGAGGCCAAGGTAAGTGGAGGTCTCCGGGGAAGAAAGCAAAATGCCATCTTGCCATCGCTGAACTCTTCCATTCCTTGGCTTGCGTTCCCAGGAGACGGTTTTGGTGGCCTTAACTGAGAGGCTCCCTCATCAGCTCCTTCCCCTATGAAGCTTGGAGGCCTCTGAGTAACCAAAAGAGGACCTTGCCCCAGCCTGGGCATCTTCTCAGCCTCCCAAAATGTCCCACCTCTTCCTGGCTTAAAGGACGTAGTAGCAACATTGGGTTCCCTGCACCCTTTCATTCACTCACACACTCATTCTCATTCTCATTCTCTCTCTCTCTCTCTCCCTCCCTCCCTCTCTCTCTCTTTCTCTCTCTCTCTCTCTCACACACACAGCCCTCATCTTTCCTGCTTCTGCCAAAAACTGGACAAAGGTAGAGAATTTGGGAGGGTTTCCTGCCATGAGTGACAGCAGGAAATCTGTTAGTGGCCGAGGTGTGGGGGGGCATGTGACTCCACCTCCTCTAGCAGGCCATTCGCCCTTGTGATGAGAGGGGCCGCTTGGTGAGCATCTGCCTGTCCTCTTTTAGGGGCCAGAAGGCGTTCTTGCAGAAGTGCCAGCTGAAGAGCAAGTGACCGTGGACCCTTTGATGGGCTACACCATCGAGGACGTTCGCTCGCTTCTGGGCCAGCTCACCAACGACCTCATCAGCAACATTCAGGTAAGGTTGCAAGAAGCAGCTTGGCTTAATTCTGCTTTCACGCTGTGCCCCACAGCAGGATGAACTGAGCCTGGTTGACCATAGCAGAGCTGGAGTGCTGCTCCTCCCAAACGTGAGTTTTGTTACCCCAGAGGGAATTGAAGAGTGCCTCTGCAATGGCATCCGCATGGAAGCCCACTCCGGTGCAGTTGAGGCAGCAAAGGAGCCTTTTGCGGATCATTCCTCCGCCTGAGCCAGCGTGTCCCTTTAGGCGACAGCCCCAATGGGAAGGCACAGCAAGTGGGGCACAGCAGAGGGTCTCCCCTGTCTTCCCCCTGCACCTGCAGTGCCCTCTTAGGCCAGGGTCCTTGCCTAGGGACTCCCCACGAGTATGTGGTCTGAGCAAAGGTCATTTCCGTTCAATTAACTTTTCATTTTTGCAGATTTTGGCTGTTCTGATACATCTCGTGGATTATATCTGGAAATCCATGTGGAATGACCTGTTAACAACCCCGTGAAAATACCACTTCCGGCAGAGAAGGAATGCCGGTTTAGTTCCCTTTTACTGTGCCTTTTTATTGCAAATTGAGCTGTTTAACAATAAAAAAATGAAAAGAGAAATGAAAGGAGAAAAACTTCACACTGAGAGCCTTTCCCACTTGGGAGAGCTGAAATATTTAAGAGTGATTAAATGGGGGCATTAAAGAATCCTGGGAAAGTTTACATTCTGCGCAAGGGTCCCTGTTGCTTTTGCTAACCTGCCACTACGGACGGGCAAATGCCTTCCTTGCAGTTTCTCATATTTTCCATTTAACCTATTCCCACAGAACTTCGGGAGTGTTTGTTAAGCTTACAGTACAATTTGTGGGTTTGTGTACATTCCTCCAAAAGAAACATTATTTCGTTCATAATTTTTCTTAATGGACATGCTTCTTGCAGTTTTCCTCCAAACGGTCCTTTGAATTAGGCAGCTGCATAACTCCTTGCAGGGAAGAATGGATTCCAGAAGGCAGCCAGGTGTCCAGATAGTGGGGAACTGGAGAGCCCCCTTTCTACTACCTTCTCCCCACCCCAGGTGCCCTCTCTGCCTGTGCATGCAGCCCTGGGCATTTTCAGGCCACAAAGCTCCAGAAGCCCACTCTATTAGCTCTGCTGACCCATATGTGAGCAGCATCACAGTGAAATTAAGCTCTGCATTCTGATACTTCTTTCTAGGATGTTTACTAGCAATGACACTTTAGTTAACTCACTTTTTCTCCTGGAGTTTCATTTCACTTCCAGTTGGATTTTCCAGAATGCAACAGGGTTTTTCCCCCCACAAAATGAAACTCCACAACAAAGGAACTAGAATAGAACAAACCTGTAGTATATTGAATGATATCAGCCTTCCCAGCTTAGTGACTCCAGATCTATTGGAGCGAGGCTTTGGCAACTGTGTGCTGGGAAGGAAAGACAGGAATTTTATCCAACATATCTGTACAGTCTCCATTTCAGAAAGCTCTGACCATCTGCCCCCTCCCCAGGAAGATGGCTTGTGTTCTGCAAGCACAGGTTGAGTTGTTCAAACATCAGGAAGCCAGGAGGCATTTGCTGTCCTGTAGTTCAGGGGTCTCCAACCTTGGGCACTTTAAGCCTGGAGGACTTCAACTCCCAGAATTCCCCAACCAGCAGGCTGGGGAATTCTGGGAGTTGAAGTCCTCCAGGCTTAAAGTGGCCAAGATTGGAGACCACTGCTATAGTTCAAAGACAGCTGAGCCCCGCTCTGGGTTGGGGCAAAGGGAGCTTGGATGGCCACAGAAGAAGAGAGTTTATGGGGTGCTGCCCTATCCCACTGAAGCTGCAGGGCTTCCCAAAGAGGGAGAGCAATCTGTGGACTAACCAATGTCAGCTAACACTATATAGTCTGTAGTATATTTTGGATGTAATGCATACAAGATAAAAGAGACAGAAGATTACAGACTTGTCAGACTTGTCAACACTCTTTTTCGTAGTCTGAGATCTATGAGAAGCTCCAAATGCAAGAAGACACCTATTCAACGAGAATAGAGAAGCTGAAGAAAGCCTGAAGCCATTAGAGGAGTGGAGCAAACAAGGTAGGATCTTACACAGAGCAATTCATTAGGTTTTGTTGGTAAGAGAAGCATAATTTAGGCAGGATCCACCGACTGGGAATCGATGCATTTCTTCTTTTAGAGCTGGAGTGGGTAGCAAAATCTTGAAGGGTAGAGAGCAGGGAGCCCTCCTTTAAAACCATCCCTAATTTTCATACATCTTTTCTAAGCTGAACCACATCAGATCTGTGAAGTTTCTTCTTCTGTGTAGGTTGCTGGAAGATATTTGGAGGATTCAAGTATGTACGTCTATATTGTAGGGACAGTAAGCAAACTTGTCTTTGGTTGTTAAAGGTGACAGGCCTGAAGCCTGATGTCTCAAAGGTTTATAAACAAAAGGTTTATCTCCTTTCTATGAATTCTTCTGCTCTTCTCAAGCTACCCAAACCAGAAGTGGCTCCCCGGACCTCTGCATGGAGAGAGGAGCAGAAGACAGGAGACGTTCTCTGAGGATCGGGGCCTAAGTGCTTCTGCTTGTTCCCTGTGCTGAATGATGAGAATGATCATCCTTTGGGAAAGTGTCAGAGCCCTTGCTTCTGGGCACTGTTTCTGTGCTTCCTCCCTAGAATTTCTCCCACTCCTCCTTTACGTGTGACTGACTCAAATGGAAAGAGGGTTTTGACCTAGGCTTCCTGATATAGTAAAAAGCACACAATTAATCCCCCCCTTTTCAAATTTTATTTTATTTTAACGGCTGTGAATTCCTTTCATTCACAGCACGTGATGAATCACCCAGAGTTTATAAATAGTCCAACAGAAGTCTGCCATAATCCTTTGGATAAGGCTGGTAAACACCCACCTTTATCTTCTTTGACACACTGCCAAAGACCTAATTGGCAATTATCTTGGCAAGGCCACACGGAAACACAGAGTCAAAACCGGAGCTTCAAAGTAGAAACCGACACCATCCACAATGTTGCTACCTGCAAAGGCCCATGTGCCTTTGCTCTTCCTTTATGTCTTACGGGAGAGGCCAATCATCTCCAAGCCTTACTCCTGAGTTGTCCCTTTTGTTTTAACTGTTCTTACCTTCTGGCAGCTCTGCGCATGCATGCACTAGGAACAGGCTCCCCCTGTTCCTCTGCCTCTCTGCTGTCCGACTCCGGAGGCTCCAGAGTCTGCACATAACTCCCAGATGGCTCTGGCTCCATCTCTGCCTCTGACGCAGAGCCCTCATCTGAGCGTTTCCCAGACTCCTCACTGTCCGACTCTGCTGCTAGCTCCACAGGCTGCTGGCAGATCACAACAAAGAGCCACAAGTACAGGCTAGCTCTGCAGATGGGGTTGAAGGGAGAGACTGAGTTTCCGTGAGGTGGCCTGACTTATTTCATTGATGGACAACTAGCCTGAGATGGGTTCAACTTCACAAAGAGGAGGGAAATGGGTTTGGCAAAACATGGCCTTTGACCATATTCTTTGGGGCTGCTGGAGAGGTGGTGTATAGAAGGAAGTACAGTGGGAGCCCTCTTAAACCAGTCAATGAAAAATCTAATGAAAGTACATTGGCTCATAAATTTCATCGTCTTCCCTGTTTGGGATTGTAATCCAAATGGCAGAGGAGGAGGAACCATTGTATACTTTAAAAGTGTCCATTCTTGCTCAGAATTAATTTGACAGTGCTCTGGAGAGCATCCAGATTAAAGTAAACATGGCAATGAATAAAAGCAATTCTGTTGCTGCTGCTCATGAAACCAAGGAGAAGACACGCAACATTCTTTATTTATGAAACAGAAATGAAGTGCAGGGCCATAGGATGGAAAAATCTGTTTTGGTACCATATTTGTGGAATAAGTCTTCAGAAGGAAATTCCATAATATCCGAATCGTTTGGATATTTCTTTTCCTCATCTCCCAAGCGTATCCACGCTTCTCATTACAATGTTCTTCCTGGAACTGGGAGAATTTAGATTGTTCTCTATAGGGTTTGAGCATCCGTATTTGAGCATCAAAAAGAATTCCATGTATAAAAATAATTGATTTGACTAAATTGGATCACAAGAGGAAAGGGGCACACAGAGCAAAAGCTAATTTTCAAAACATCTAGAATAATTCAAAAATAATATGCACCACGTTTTGTTAACTCAGGAAAATAAAATGGACACATAAACTACAAAGAAAGGGATGTGGTGGCTCAGTGGCTAAGACACTGAGCTTATCGATCAAAAGTTCAGAGGTTCAAATCCCTAGTGCCACGTAATGGGGTGAGCTCCCGTTACTTGTGTCAGCTTCTACCAACCTAGCAGTTCGAAAGAACGTAAAAAATGCAAGTAGAAAAATAGGGACCACCTTTGGTGGGAAGGTAACAGTGTTCCGTGCGCCTTTGGCATTTAGTCATGCCGGCCACATGACCATGGAGACATCTTCGGACAGCGCTGGCTCTTCGGCTTTGAAATGTCGATGAGCACCGCCCCCTAGAGTCGGGAATGACTAGCACATACGTGGAGGGAACCTTTACCTTTTAAAGTACAATGAAGAGGCATACTGACCATCAGGTTCTGTCAATCTATTTTACATTAGCATGCCTAATCAATAACCCTTTCATTTAAATGTTCCTCAATTTTGCTGATTGTCTCAGCAAAATTTCAAAATCTCAGATGTTCAGAAAATGCCTTGAGCTTCTCTGGGTGATGTAAATATGGTTGACCTGGAGCTTGGCTGGGGCAAAGCTTCCTCTGATGCCCACGTTGCAGAAGGTCTCAAGAACTTGTCCAACTACTGAGATTGACCAATTATCAACGTGTCCAATTTGATTCCAGAGCCTGGGGAGGAGCTTAGAGGATGACATTCTGTGTTTGGAACTTTCTGGAGGTTTTTCTCACCATTTCTTCTACTTCTTTCCTAGGAAAAGCATCTGCGATTAAGGGAAATTTTGCAAGGCCTTTTGAAGGCCATCTGCTCATTGCCCTTCAAGTCAACAGAAGAGAAGAAACTTTTCAAAGCAAGGAGCAGACCTGACTTTTTTTTTTCCCTGCCCCATTTTGTCATTTGACTGAGTACAATAAAGAAGTGTTGTTCTCGTAGAACTTTACCTAGGTTAGTAAGGCAAATAACACTGACATACAGTAACTACGAGACAAGAACTTTTTATTTTATACTTCTGAAAGCTTCTCTGTGCTTGTAGTTATATCCAAATATTTCAGTCCCGCCTTGTAATCCTCCCTTTTGTTCTGGCTGCTAGATATCAGCTCCAAATGTTCCGTTCTGTGTTATGGTTAGATTCGTGATCTTCCCTAGAGTATAATATTTAAGTCAAGCTTTATCAGGCTACTTATAGAGAAGAATTTGGTCCCTTGATTGTGTTCCAGGGAAATGTTTTCAATTCCTTCTGCTGCCAGACACATGAAGTGGATCATACTAACCATTTTTCCCAAGCCTCCTTGACCCCCTCCCCCCTCGCCATAATAAACTCATTTGCACAAGGGTGGTGGGGAATTTGGCAGTTGTCTGCAGAGGGAGGGTCTCTCGCAGATACGGACCAAATACCAGGCAGAACATTGCTCTGTGCAAGATGCAATCCAAGCAGGGCTGTTCACAGTACCTCCTTTCACCACTGCTGCCATGTTGACAATTCAGCTGAACATTTTTTTTTTTGAAAAGAAACTCTGGGGAGAGCCAAAAAATGATGAGCTGGTCAGGCAGATTGATAGAAATGATGATCAAAGGAAAAGGAAGCCATGCCAGAAAATTAGCATGGATTCCTCAAAAGGAAATTCTGCCTGTCTGGAGGATTTTTTTTTTTTTTGAGGGTGCCAGTGGACACGTGTTGAAGGTGCCCACTTGACTCTGATTACCTGATTTAAAAAAAAAAATCTTTGCTTAAAGTTTGCCACCAAGACTTCCAGTTATGAGGAAAGGAGCCTGTCATTTAAATGGTTGCTAATTGGTTAAAAAAAAATCCCAAGATAATAAATGTGCAATTTTCTGCTTGGAAGGATTGCTGCCTTTAAACTTGTTCATAATGATCTAGACTGGGGTAAAAAATGAGCTTGTCAGGTATGCTTCCTTCAAAATCCAGGAAAGGATGACCCAAACTCCATTTTTTATAGAGATTAGTACTTTTACTGAAAATGAAGCGATCGCAACCCAGGTAAAGCTGGAACTAAGCAAAATGCGCGAAATTGCATCTAGAAAGCATCTCCCCCCCCTTGTCCATTGTCCATCATCCAATCCAAAGGTCTCCCAAAGGTCAGGTGGAATCACGTCTGGCAACGTCATCCATCAGGAATGTAATGACGGTTGGTCTGATGGCTCCTTTGGAGAATCGGTTTCGTTTCTTGGAAAGACTCTTCCTGCGCCCTTCGCCCCCCTAACTGTTTCCCATCCGTTTCTTATGGCAGCTGAAGCAGTAAAAGCGGAGGCTGACATTCGGCCCCTCTGCAGAAAAGACGTTAGTCCTAAATAGAAAAGAAGAAGGGAAAAGGGAAAACAAAATATATACAGGAATTAAGGTTTATTCAGTGACCAGGCATGAAGAAGCATCTCTTAAGCTGAGTCAATGCTCAACCAAATGTAAAATGTAAAATGATGGGCTTTGGGACAGAAAACCCTAACTTCACATATAGCCTGATGGGAGCTGAGTAGACTGCGATTAGCCAAATATTGTTGAGTCCTGTTAGGAGGCCCAGTGGTGCTATCAGGCTGTTTCCTTTCCCAGCTGTGACAAATTCTATGCTAGAGAACATTTGGAAAGATAATGAAAATAAAGCTTCCGGCTCTGTAATGCCACATCCTTCTGTGAAATGTTGTGTACAGTTCTGGTCATCACAGGTGAAAAGGGAATATATAATGACAACGCAGGGGGAAATATGGAAGAAGACAATCACAATGGTCATCAAATTAAAACTTCTTCCGTACCAGAAATATTGAGAAGAGCAAGAGCAAGAGCACTTAGACTTATATACCGCTTCACAGTGCTTTTACAGCCCTCTCTAAGCAGTTTACAGAGTCAGTCTCTTGCCCCCAACAATCTGGCTCCTCATTTTACCTGCCTCGGAAGGATGGAAGGCTGAGTCAACCTTGAGCCGGTGAGATTCAAACTGCTGAACTGAATGGTGGAATCTGTAGTTTGGAAGAATGGAGACGGGAGGGGTATGGCCAAACTCTGTAAAATCATGGATATATTTTTCTCCCGTACTCCACTGAGGATCAGGGTTCATTTGTTTGGCCAATACTGGTCTCCATCAAGGCAAATCCTGGGTCCTTCCTTAGCCTATTAGCCTTTGAAAGTTGGCCGTGATATGGGATAGCTGAGGTGAGTCAACCCTGATGTTAACTGGCTCTTCCTGGTTTTCAGTTTGTGCTGAATGGTTTAAACCAGGGGTGAAATGCTCCCGGTTCAGACTGGATCGCCCGATCCGGTAGCGATGGAACCGGTAGCAAAAATTCCTGCCCACCCCCCCAATGCCCAGCTGAGCTGCACAATCATCAGAGGCTTTTTTTTTTAACTTTTAAAAGCATTTTTTCTACAACCTCTTCCAACGAAAAAATGCTTTTAAAAGTAAAAAAAAAAGCCTCTGATGATCACGTGGCTCAGCTGGGATCCTCAGAGGCTTTTCAAAGCATTTTTTTCTGCAACCTCTTGGCCGAAGAGGTGGTTAAAAAAATGCTTTGAAAAGTCTCTTTTCAAGTTGAGTTGCCTGATCGGCAGAGAGGTATTTTTTAAAAAGCCTCTCTGACGATCCCAGCTGAATTGCCTGATTGGCAGAGGCTTTTCAAAGCATTAGAAAAAATGCTTTGAAAAGTTTAAAAAAAAAAACTTGGCCACGCCCACTCAGTCACATTACGCCCCCCTCACCAAGCCACACCCACAGAACCGGTAGTAACAAATTTTACATTTCAACCCTGGTTTAAACCTGCATTATATTTACATCAGGTACAGAAATCTTGGATACGTTCATAGCCTATTTAGAGCCAGGACAGAAGCCCCTCCTATGTGCCAACGGTGGGAAGAGGGGCAGCTCATCTCCTGATATGAACATCTGGACTCGCCATTTTTAAGAGAAAGCACTTGTCTTTTCTTGCAAGAAGCTGCAAGAAGCTGGCTTTGGCGAGAATGACTTCATGGAGAGGCCTGAAACAGGAAGGGGGGACTAAAGAAGGCCAGGAGTGTCCCCTCGCCCCCCTCCCCATTTCTCTTCTCCTCTTTGTGTATGTCTGCTGTGATGGGGAGCAGGGAGTCACCCCAGGGCTCTCCTCTGAAGCAAAACAGGTTCTGGAGCACAAGGGCTTCTTGAGTACTGATGAAGTGTAGATGCTGAGCTTGATTGCTCATGGTTTATTCAGTACTTTTGAAGAATCCTGAAAAGGTTTCCTTTGGTGTAAATATCTCCTGAATTACTCCATTGATGTTTTCCCCCTTGGGGATCCAACTGGAAACTGTACCACTCCACCACCTATTTACCAGCATCCGGCTTCTTGGAACACGTTCAATCAGGGTTTTCTTTTTTCCCCTGAATATGAGAGGCGTTATTCGAAATACTATATTAATAATTGGCCTTTGAGCCTGGATTGATTTATTTGGGAGTGTAATCAATTTACAAAAGCTTTAAACTGATGCTTAAGAATGTGTGCGTTTGTCTGTGTGTGTGTGTCTCTTGTGTGCTTCAGTTCAAGTTATTCTTTTAAGAAGGCATTAGGAACAGTGTCTTTCTTTTTTTTTTTTTTTTATTGCAAAAGTTTTACAATTACATTTTCACCCCTTTTTTTTCACCCCCCCACCTCCCTCCCCAAACTTCCCGTCCTCCCTAACCCTCCCTAACCCTCCCCCCCCAGGGATGGGATGTGGGATGGAGGAACAGTGTCTTTCAATGCCAGCATGACAGCTACTCCTGGTGTGCTTTAGCCAAAGTTTTCTCATCAAGACGAAATGCAAGAGAACTTCCCCAGCAACTGCAGACCCAGCCATTAAAGAGTGTAAAGGGGGGGGGCTAAATACATCTATCGATCAGGGGTGAGTTCTACTTACCTTTACTACCGGTTTGCAGCGGGGCCGCACGCATGCGCATAACCTTCTTGATGATGTTGGGGTCGGTGGGTGGAGCCTCCTGCCGGTTTTACTACAGGTTCTATAGAACCAGTCTGAACCGGGGTCAACTCACCACTGCTATCAATATGATCCCAATGTTTCTGCAATGTATCAAGGATTGTCATGGCAGATCTCTCACACACACACAGAGTGTTGATGATTTACCAGGATCTGTTACTTATCTCAGATGCTTCTGGTTAGAAGCATCTACTTTCTGTATTGCATTTTTAACTCCACATGTTGTATTCTTCTACCTGCAGTTCAGTGGTGGGATTTAAAAATTTTTACTACCGGTTCTGTGGGCGTGACTTGGTGGGCGTGGCAGGGGAAGGATACTGCAAAATCCCCATTCCCTCCCCACTCCAGGGGAAGGTTACTGCAAAATCCCCATTTCCTCCTGATCAGCTGGGACTCAGGATGCAGAGAATAGATGGGGGTGGGGCCAATCAGAGGTGGTATTTACCGGTTCTCCGAACTACTCAAAATTTCCGCTACCGGTTCTCCAGAACTGGTCAGAACCTGCTGAAACCCACCTCTGCTGCAGTTCCCCACTGTTTTATCCCTATATCTTAGTTCTTGCCAGAGGGAAAAGGATTAAGGTCAGAAGGAAACATTTGGACTGAAGGGTTAAGAATACTGTCCTGAGTCTTGCCTAAGCTTACCTGTCACCCCCATCCCAGGCCCTCCAACGCATTCACCAGGAGACAAAGATGGTGGTCCAGTTCAGGGGGTCCTGCAGCAGATTCCCAGGACGAGAGCTGCACCCTCAGAGATTCAGGCAGCCTCTGCAGTTCCTCCTGGAGCTGTCCAGGCCTGACCGTGTGTCTTCGGGTGTCCTTCAGGCTCCAGAGTCAGAAAGGGAACCGCAGCCCCCTTCCCCCTTCGCTTCAGGGTGCAGCTGACTGTCCGTCTGCTTCCAGAGAAAACCTCAGGATCTTCCTTGGGTTGAGCTTGTTAGTCCAAGAAGAGCCCACTTTGAAGGAGGGCAGATTCAGTTCGCATTTGATGGTGTGGATATTCGTATTTTATTTCTATCGACAAGCATACTTTGAGCTTATTTTCAGATGTGG